TTTGAGTGCTCGTTAATTTTTTTTAGGCTGAACAGTAGGCCTTGCTATTGCATTTTTTGCAACTCCATTAAAAACATTTGTACAAGAAGAAATTTTCAAGCTAGGTATCTTTTTAGACAAATAATAGGCCTTCCGGTTGCATATTATTGGTTTCTTTCATTATAAAAAATATATGAATAAAATTCAAGGCCAGGGCATTTTTTAGTGCTAAACAGTAGGCATCCCCATTGCTTACCTTTTTCTGTAATTTTGTAACAAAATTTTGTGCAAGAAGATCATTTTAGGGCCATGTAGTTTTTTAGGCTTAACAGTAGGCCTCCCTATTGCATATAAATTTCATACAAGAAGAAAATATTAGGGCCATGCATATTTGAGGGCAAGGAGAATTTATGTGGATCAGTTAGCCTTGCATGCACATTTGAGGGTCAGTGTAATTTTTTTGAGGCTGGACAGTTTGCCTTCCTACTACATATTTTTTCTAATTTCATAATAAATTTTTGTACAAGAAGGCGAAATCAGGATCAAGTTATTTTTTTAGTCTAAATAATAGGCTTCACTAATGAATATATATTGTAAAGTCATAATAAAAGTTAAAGAAGAAGAAAGTTGCAGGGCCAAATTAATTTATTTATTACAAGTATTTGTAATTTCATTACAAGTTTCTGTACAAGATAAAATTCCAACACAAGTTAACTTTGTCATGCTAGACACAAGGCCTCCCTACAGCATTTTGTTTGTAAATTCCTGATAAAATTTTGCACAAGAAATGTTTTTCAAGGCCATGTAAATTTTCTTAGTACACCCTACTGCAAATTTATTTTATTATTTATTATAAAAATTGTAAGGTTAATTTTGTAAGGCTGAACAAATACGTACTTGCATATTCATATTTTCATAATACAATTTTGTACAAAGAGGAAATTTGAGGGCCACCTAATTTTTTAAGGCTAAACAGTATGTCTTCCTAGTGCATAGTTTTTTGCAACTCCATTATAAATTTGTACAAGAAGAAGATTTTCGGGCTAGGATAACCTTTTTGGCTGAACAATAGGCCATCCTATTGCATATTATTTGGTAATTTCATTTTAAAGTTTTGTATATGACCAAAATTTCAAGGCCAAATTAATTATTATTCTTATGCTGAAGAGTACGCCTCCATACTGCATACCTTTTCGTAATTTCGTAATAGTATGTTGTGCAAGAAGAAGTTTTAGGGCGATGTTATTTTTTTAGGCTGAATATATAGACCTCCCTATTGCATATAAAATTTTGTACAAGAAGAAATTTCAGGGCTACGTTAATCTTTTCTAGGCAGAACATTAGGGCTCCCAAATGCATGTGTTTTATAATTTCATTATAAATTTTGTACAAGAACAAAATTGCAGGGCCAGATTAATTTTTGTAATTTGACATAACTTTTTAACAAGAAAACAATTGTTGGTTATTTAATCTAGTAGCTGATGTTTTTTCTAAAATGCTTCATAAAGCTACTAGTAGTGGTTTAATTGGTGGGTTGCTACCCCATGTCTTTCCAGGTGGGGTAGTCAGCCTGCAATATGCTGATGATACCATATTGTTCCTGGATAACTCTTTAGAGTATGCCAAGAACTTGGAGTGGATTTTATCCTGGTTTGAAAATTTATCTGGTTTGAAAATTAATTTCCATAAAAGTGATCTTCATGCTATTAATATTTCTGATCAATTGTCTAAGGATTTTGCCCAGGTTTTCTGTTGCCAACTTGGGGATTTCCCCTTTAAGTATCTTGGGGTTCCCCTTCACTTTAAAAAACTTAGAAGGGAGGACCTCCAACCCATTATTGATAGAATTATCAAAAATATCTCTGGATGGTTGGGGAGATTGCTCTCTTATAGAGGGAAACTGATTTTACTTACCACTTGCATTGACAGCATTCCTGCTTACCTAATGTCTATTATGAAATTTCCCAAATGGGCTATTGACATGATTACATCTCAAATGTCACACTTCTTTTGGGGGAATATGGGTGATAATCATAAATACCAGCTTGCAAATTGGGGGTTGATTTCCAGAAGGAAAGAGTTTGGGGGTGTGGGGGTTCCAAATCTTAGAGAATTCAACATGGCCCTTCTGGCCTCTTGGGGAAAAAGATTCTATGATGACAGGGATAGTGACTGGAAGAAGATGTTAAACTACAAGTATAACACTTCCAGCCCTAATCTCTTTAATACTAGGGTGACCCTGGGGTCCCCTTTTATGAAAAGTTTATCATGGGCTCTTGCAGCCTCTAAAAATTTCTATAGATGGATTCCTGGAGATGGTAAGAGTATTGCCTTCTGGCATGACACCTGGGTTGGGAACTGTTCTCTTAAAACTTCATTTTGGGACTTATTTACTATCTGTCAACAACAAAACTCTACTCTTGCACAGGTTTGGGTGAATGGGGAACTGCACTTAACTTTTAGAAGGTGTGTGATGGAAAACACTTTAAAAAGATGGGAGGAGCTCATCAAAGTGATTGAGCCAATATGTCTGTCTGATTCCCCAGACCAGCCAGTTTGGTTGCTAGAACCATCTAACAATTATTCTGTCAAATCATTCTATAAAATGATTAACTTTGGTGGGATAGTTTCTACTATCAAGGATGATATTTGGAAAATTAGAGTTCCACCCAATATTCATGTTTTTCTCTGGTTGATCTACTATAATAAGAGCTTAACTAGAGATAATCTGGCCAAGCGTAGGCATGTGAATGACATGTCGTGTGTCTTCTGTAGTGAACCTGAAACCATCCAGCATTAATTTTTTTATTGCATTGTTGCCAGACATGTTTGGGAGGTGGTTGCTGATAGCTTTAATATTTCTGCACCTGAATCTTTTGAACTGCTGTCTTCTTTCTGGAAGAGGAGAAAATACTGTGAAGCTTTAAATATTGTTACTGCTGCTACCTTGTGGAGCTTATGGCGATTTCGGAATGATTTTGTTTTCCAGGGGAGAAGATGGCGAAGTATACGTTGTGTCCTAGACCTGTTGGGGGCAACGATCAGGCGGTGGAAAATCTTATGCTCAGAGGCTCAGGGTGTGCTTCTTCTCCGGTGTTTAAGACTTTTGGATCATCGAAGGAAGGAATTGCTTAGGATCGCGTGGCGGTGATGCTGCTACCAGGGGCACCGCTGGGTGATGTACTCTAGCCTATCTTAGCCTTCTCTCAGCTCGCATGTTCTATCACCTGGTTATGTACCCTCCTAGTTGGACCCTCTTGAAATTTGTAATAGGGTAGTTTCAGATCTTTGCTTTTCTCTGTCTGTGGCAGCTACTCTCTGGTTGCCGCCGAGCGCTGTTAACAGTATTATGTTGGT